AAAAACAGGCAAAAATATCTAGAATATAAGCATGAATAATTTTTTCTTGACAAGTCTCTCTGGGAAAGGGAAACCAAATAAAAAACGAACAAGTGGGACTATATTAAACTAAAGTCTTCTGTTCAGTCAAGGAAACCAACAAAACAAAAATGCAACTTACTGTATGGAGAATATATTCACAAGTGACCTGGTAAGGGACTAATATTCAAAATACATAAAGAACTCATGATATTTAACACCAAAAAAACAAACAACCTAATTAAAAATATGGGCAGATGACCTGAATAGACATTTTTACAAAGAAGATATACAGATGGCAAGTGGCACATGAACAGATGTTCCATGTCACTAATCATCAGGGAAATGCAAATCAAAACCACAAAGAGATATCACCTCACACCAGCCAGAATGGTTACTATCCAAAAGACAAGAAATAACAAGTATAGGGGAGGATGTTCAGAACAGGTAACTCTCCTAATCTTTAGGTGGGAATGTAAATTGGTGCAGTCACTATGAGAAGCTGTATGGATGGTCCTCAAAAAACTAAAAGTAGAAATACCATATAACCCAGTAATTCCACTTCTGGTAATTTACCCAAGAAAACAAAAGTCTCAGATTCAAAAAAATATATTCACTCCCATGTTTACTGACACTTCATTTAAAATAGCCAAGATAATGGGAGCAAACCATATGTCCATAAATAATGAATGGATGAACAAGGAGTGGTACGTATATGCACTGGGATATTATTCAGCCATAAGAAGATAATAAATCCTGCTATTTGTGACAACATGGATGGACCTAGAGGTTAATATGCTACATGAAATAAGCCAGGCAGAGATAGACAAATACCATAGGATTTCACTTACTTGTGGAATATTAAAATAAAGCAAAATAGAAGAAACAAACAGCAGTAGACTCAAAGGCACTGAGAAGTGACTGATGTTTACCATGGGAGAGGGTTTGGGATGGGGATGCTGAAATAGGTGAAGGGGACAAAGAGACACTAAAAAAAGATAAAATCAAGCTACATCTTCAATACTTTGCTTGTATATCTTCTCAGAAAATATCCAAGTTTATCAGAAGTTTTATTTTCCATATAATTGTAGGACATAGCCAGTTCTGAATTCGATGCTACTTTATAAAAAGAATTCTCTTCTAGTTTCCAATAATGTCTCTCATTTCCTTGCAAGCTCATAACACCTGCAATTTTACTATCCTTTCTACAAATAGTCAGCTTATAATGACTGAAGTATTCCCTCAAATAAAATAGGTTTTCTTTACTCTGCTTCTCACTTCCTTCTGAGTCTTTAATAGCAGAGTCATTAAAATCCATATTTGTAGTAACAGTCTGTGCAAAGAAATCTAGGCTTTTTCTATCATGGTCCTCAAAATTCACCTACTATCTACTCTTAATTCCAAACCTCTTTCCGCATTTTTAGGTATTTGTTACAGCAGCATTCCCCTTTCCGTTACCAGTGTCTGTATTAGTTTTTGTTGTTCCTTCAGCAAATTACTACATACTTAGTAGTTTAAAACAGCACTAATTTATTATCTTAAATTTTTGGACATCAAAAGTCCAAAATGGGTTTTACTCAGCTAAAATTAAGGTATCAGTAGGGCTGTAGAGTATATGTGTTCTTTTGCCTTTTTTAGAATCTGGAAGCTTCTTGCTTTTCTTGATTTATGGCTCTTCTACTCTCACGGCCAACAGTTTAATGTACTCATCTCTCTCTCTGACACTTCTGCCTATTTCTTATAAGGACCCTTATAATTACATAGGGCTCACCTGGATAATCAAGGGTTTTCCCATCTCAAATATGTAATTTAATCACATTAAAAAGTCTCTTTTACCATTGTAAAATGTTCATAGGCTCCAAGTGTTGGAACATTATCATCTTTTGGGGGTGAGGCATTATTTTTCCTACTGGAGAAACATATAAAAATGATTTCCTTGAGAGCAGGGATAATAACTCCCTCTTTTTTGCTTTAGAGGACAGTCATAGCTTGGCACCTAGTGCATGTTTAATATTTGCTTTTATTTAAAAATATATCTATTTGGTATCTTATGTGACTGACACTCTTCTAGGTGTGGGGAAATATGTGAGTGAGCAAAACACAGTTCTTTTTTTCTCATAAGCTTTACATTTTAGTGTGGTGAAGCAGAGTACACAGAAAAAGTATGTTATTAAGTGATGATTTAAAACAAACAAACAAACCCAGGGTTAAGGAAAGAATGTGCCAGGTGAGCTATGTAAGAAGTCCTCTCAGACAAGGTGCCATTTGATTGAATACCAAAAAGAACTGGGGTATGAAGACTTTTGAATATGTGGGAGAAGAATGTTTTAGAAAGAGGAAATGTAAGTGCAAGGATTCTGAGGTATGAACATTCATTGCTTATATTTAAAAATTTTCAAGGAGTAGTAAGGGTGCAAATTAAACTCACAGTGAGAGTAGGGAGAATGGTATGAGGTCAGACATGTAGGAAGGTGACAGATTGCATAAAACTTTGTATTCTAAGTAAAGTTTGGATTATACTTGGAAGAAGATGGAAGTACATTACAGGATTGGAACAGAGACTGGCAAAAATCTGACTTGCATCTTAAAAGATTACTCTGGTTGCTCTGTTGGATACTAACTAAGGGAAGGGAAGGGTGAAAGCAAGGGAACAGGACAGGGCTGTTGTAGTAGTCCCCAGGAAGAGTGGTGACCGCTTGGATTACATTGGCAATGTTGGTAGGAGAATTTATAGCTCATTCTGGATATATTCCTCAGGCAGAACTCACATGATTTTCATGACAGATTGGATGTGCCTGTGAAAAAAAAAAGTAATTAAGAATGACTTCAAGGATTTGGACTGAACATCTGATGAATGGAGGCACCATTTGCTAAATTGGGGAATATTATAGAATAAGAACAAGAACCTCTCAGTTTTGGGTATGTTTAGATCGAGATGCTTATTAGACATCGAGTAGAGATGCTATGGGGATAGATACATGGAAGACAGGAGTTCAGGAGATCTTAGCTAGTAGATAGCACTTAAAGTTGTGAAATTGGATGAAATCCCTAGGGGAGCCATTTGCGAAGAGAAGTGGTGCCAGAATTGAATAAAGGAGCACACTTGTGTTTGGAAGTCAGGGTTACGAAGAGAAACCAACAACGGACTGAGCTAACAAGCAGGTACTGGGGAGTGAGGGGGTCCAAGAGTAATGTCTTGAGGGCAGAATGAAGGTGGCTTTTTGAGAAAGGAGTGATCAAATGTGTCAACTGCTGCTGAGATGAGAGCAAGAGGAGGACTCCGAAACGACCATTTGTTCTGGCGTCATGGAGGTAGACTGCGTTTTGATGGAGTTGGGGATACAAATGCCTGACTGAAGTTATTCATGGAGTCCCAAGTGCATTTATAATCTACCCAACAGTGAAAAATCTTTATTGCATTTCTAAACATTGACAAATACTTAAAATTTTATGCTATGCAGTTTAGCATTCACTGGTGGTATAAATATTGGAGTCTCTTTGAAGTTTAGTTAATATTTCTAAGTTGGTCATCTAGAGTTTCTTTATTTGCAAAACCCCCAAAATATCCTGTCTTTAAATTGTCTAAGTTCCTTACCTCCAATTATCTGCCTCCCTTGTAAGACTCCATAAAATGGAGAGATTAATTTAAATGAGGAACATTACATTACCCTAAGAGAATATAACTTAGTGCTGGTGGAATAGTTGGAAAGGCACTTTTGCTTTAACTTTTACCCATTTCCTCATGGAGCTGACAGAGATCAAATATCAAATGTTCCAGGTCAGAGATTAGTTATGGGGATTCTCTAGTTAAAAATGCGTTTGTTCTCTTGAACCCAATGAATATGTTAGTAATTAGTTTTTTTAACTGAATATTCCCCTTCTCTTAGTAAAATCAACTATCAGAACATTTCTGGCTTTTATGTGGCTCCATATATCTAAGTCATAGACTCTGTATGTGATATCCTTTGCAAAAAAGAAGGAACAACTGTAAAGTGCATAAAATATTGAAACTCAAAGTGCCAAAAGAATTCTCCTCAAGAATTCTGCCAGTGTTCATTACAGGTTGCTTAAAATACAACATATAAATGAAAAGTATCCCACACTGCCCTGTATTATATTCTTCTGCTTTTTTTCATTTCCATCTCCAGATGGGAGATTTATAGTGAGCCTGAGATAGACAAATAGCAGGGGGAGCTGAGTGGGAAAGAGAGTGTGAAATTAATTGCCAGATTGAATTTACATTCTGAAACTGTGATCTGAAGACAGAAATTCACATGCCGGACTTGTTCTAGTAAATGTTGGGTCTTGAAGGAGTTAGAATTTACCCTTGATGCCTTTTCAACTTCTGCTGTCTGTCCTTTCCCTAGTGTTGGGGTGTTCTCCTTGCAATGCTGGAGACATATGGTTACATATTTCATTACCTTTTGTTTGATATCCATCAGTTTGCTTCTAAGAATGTTTTCTCTGCTAGGTCATAATATGTGCTCTTGAATTTTAATTCTGGTAAACAATCTGTGCTAAAAATTGCTTGGATTAATTCCAGATTAAAACCAAACAAAATAGCCAAACAACCAGCCTTTACTAAATTGAAAGTAAAAGTAAGCAGAAAGGGGAAATGTAGTAGGATCAGTTGGCATGTGGCCAACTCACTAATTTACGTATAGATGTAAAACTGACTCTCGGCATGTGATGTTAGGAAAGGGCCTGGAAAGCTCTCAGTATTAAAAATGAAGGTCCCACTGATTGGAAGGGAAATGTTTGGTCACTACCCCTCGCCTCACTATTCCTCCACTGCTCCACAGGCTTACATTTTCTTTCTCATCCACACTTAATTACTTAACTTTAATAATACCAAAGGGGCTATTGAATGTTGTTATGAATAAGACCCATATTCAAAATCCCAGCTTTGACACTTGACCCAGTTATCTTCCTTGTATGCACCTTAGTTTCCTCAAACATAGAAGGGAGACAATGCCACATTGTAAGATTTTTGCAATGAGGATTTATGTGTAGCAATTCATGAAAAAGGACTAGTGTAAAACATAGCCCCTGTAGGTTTTAATTGGAAATTGAGTAAAGTAATATACATCCTAGAAACAAAAAATAGTTTTAACAAGTGTGTAATAAGTGTATATTAACAAAGGAATTTGGGGGGGAACCATTTCTAGAGTATGGACATTAGTCAATTATAAATAGGAAGACTTTTTGATACATACTATAAAATGTTCAATGCAGAAACATTTATCATTATAAAGAACAATTGAAAATCTCAATAGATTCACTCACTGGAATCAACGTAAAATAAATGTGGAAGATTAGTAATGTTACATCAAAAGTAAATGTTTGTTCACTACGTGAGTTATATTTTCAGATGTCATTTCAGAAAACTAAGACTATCCATCCCAGGATGAAAGGATATTAATTAGACTTAATAAATGAATAGTGATTCTGTTTACCTCTATATCTCTCTATATATGGATTTATCTGTCATCTATCCATCCATATGTATACATTCAAGTGTTTATCCTATCAGAATTGCAAGATACATACAAATAAATGTTAACAAAATCTGAAAATACAATTTAGGACACTTTAACCTCTAGTTACCTTCATACCTAATCCCAGTTATTCTTTGAAATTTGGGAGAATTTTATGTGTTATCACACAACTAAGTCTACAGTTTGGGTAGAATCACTGATGACAAAATGCTAATCTACAGTATGAACGCAAGTTGAACAGACAGATTGCCTATAGTTGGGGTTTCTAAATGATTGTTAGGTAAAAGTATGTGACTAACAGTATTGTTGACTGTACACTAGGAAGTTATGGCCTATGTTGTCCCAAGCATTTGGTTCAACCTAATATAAAAGACTAATAAACCTTAATAACTTCTGGAAAATGAAATTTTGAATCATTTTAGAGTACAAACGACATTAAGTGTTATCAGACTTTATTGTAAAATTTAGCAAAGTTTTTCTTGTAATCCCTGACCCCTTGCTCTGAAAACAAAATCAAAATTATTGCTTATTTTGTCCCCCTACAATATTTGTGCCACCGTAAAAGAGGGAAGAAAATTATTGTAATAAATAAAAACAGAGATGTGAGAGAGAAAGATAAGTCAGTCCAGAAGAGAAATATTAGGGGCAACAGAAATACCATCAAGCAGTTTCAAAAGAAGCTTCTTTTAAAAGGTCATATAAAAAAAATCACACCAAAAAATATAGCAGCAGAGAAGGATAAATACTAGTGAATTGCACACCAGTCCCATGTAGAAACAGGGTTGTTAGCCAAAGCAGTAGTATTCAGAATCCAATTTGGGATGCTTGCGCAGTGCCTGTGAGTCTTCTATTATAGAGCTGTCACTGAACTGGTCCAAGTCTGATGGGGTCTGATGGCCTGGGACATCATCTGCCAAAGTGTCCAGAAAGCTCCCCACGGAGATGCCATCCAGTCCATCACTGCCATCATGTAGGCTGTTGTAGCTGCCACGCAAGGAGGTGCTCTGACTCTCCAGTAAACTGCATAGGCTGCCACTGAGACTGCTGCCTCGGCTGGTAATGGTGGCTTTCTCTTCAATCATCCACTTGATGGACTCAATGTTCTCGTTGATAACGAGCAACTGGCGCATGAGCCTGACATCTGTGGCTCGGAGGTTAACCTGTGGAGAAGAGGGAGAGAGGAAAGACATGCCAGTTATTTTACATTCTTGAATTATCCAAAGTTTATTTGGATTCTGCCTTCTGCAGTCCATAATTTTAAATTCACATAATAAAATATAAATTCACTTGATCTCCAGATTTGTCTGAAAATTGCTGACCAATGGTAGGGGTTTGGTTAATCAACTTAATTCCTGCCAGATGCATCAGACTCCAAAAGAGACAATGAAATTCCCACTGCATCCCTGACCCTAACTATGATGCATGGAAAAACATACTGAATGCCAGGTTCTCTGCAAAGAAACTTATTTTTGGGCCAGATTAGTAGCTCATCCATGTTTACTTGGGAATAAGTAAATTGTCTGGATACTGAGAGGTGGGGAAAGAGGAATGTGTAGAAACTAAGGACTCATCATCATTGTAGCAACTCCTTTGTTTTTGAGAGGTAATGTGCCAGGGTTCATTATAAAACTTCAACATTCATTATAGTAGTAACCTTATACCACAGGTATTATTATTTTTATCCCCATTAGACAGATAAAGAAACTGAGATCTACAGAAAGGAGGTAAGAATACAGAAAAGGTCTGTACTCTTTATGACTTTATATGACTTTATATATATAGAGTAATAAATAATGCTTTTATTTTTAAGAGGAACCAAATTACTTTAGTATTCCATGAGTCCAAAGGGTGCAGACACACTAGACTGATGGACTTCACAAGGTGATCTGGAGAGATATTTTCTGTAAATCTGATTATTTGCTTCAGAAATGTGAGGGGTAATCCCAATCAAAATTGGGGTATAAGACTCTAAGGAGGTTCTAGAGCTCCTCTGAGTGCCTTCTAGGTGTATAGTCCTTCCCATAGTTATAAGTTACTTCAGGGAACTCTGTCTTCACAGCCGCAAAGCAGAATTTCTTTGTTTGCCCTACATTGTAACAGGAACATTGCTAACGTCAAGGTGTGGTGGTTCTGGGCAAGATGAGGAGAGGGCAGCTGCAAGAACTATTACAAGGAATCCCTGTTCTTGCTGGAATTGAAGAGCTATGGCCCCTTCAGAATGCTGGAACTGGGAAACAAGGATGCATTTGGCCATTAGAGATCCAGGTCACATTCATTATGGTTTGAAATGGATTCCTGTTTTTTCAGTTGGGATCCTTAATCCAAGAGGCTGGGCCTTGTTAATTCTCTCTCAAAGATACAGGGCTCATTCAGACTTATGGGTGTCTAGAATTAGGTACTTGGTCATGAATGACTCAAGCCATAAGGGAGAAAGGAGCCTACTGTCTTCAAATGTATGCATCCATATTTTTAAAGTATTTCCTGGTTAGGAGTTAATCTATACTGAAGATGAATTTTGGATTTATTGAACATGATGAATAAGTATTAGGAGAGATGGAATTTCTACCAATGACTTCAAAGATGTAGGATAGTAAATTTAAAAATTTTTAATTTTGCTAGGATATTACACTAAGTGACTTTTGGGTGACTTCATTATTTTCTCCGAGAAACGCATGGAAAATAAAATGTCTAGAAGGTAACAGTGAAAATCATTTATCTCTTAGGTGTTCATGAACAGAAGGATATGAACTTAACAGTGCTTTTCTATCTGTGGCATTGTTGTAGTGGCCTTGCAGTGATGTGTTGAGGAGCGAGGCTTTCTGGAAGTGTTTATTTTCATATTCACCCACACCACCAGATGAGTCATCAAGATACTTTCCAAGTTATACAAGTAATACAGCATTGATAAATCACCGACCACTTGTCTAGATCCTCAGAGGAGCCTAAGTAATCAGTTTGAGCCAAAATAAAATCCTTCAGTTAGGCATCTGTGGATGATGAAACTTGCTGTGCCCATTGTAGGCATGGTGCAGGCAAAATGCGACCGTTCGCCTGCAGCTCCTCACATGAAGCACAGCTGTTCTTGTTCACGTCTCCACCCCGTCCCATGGAAATGCTCCTGCTCTTGCCCAGCTCTGGGTGTGTTTCCTGTTACTGCTTTTGCTTGAAGTATTTTACTCTTTTTCTCTCCACGTCCTCCCCATTCTTGAAGTCCTAGTTCTTATATCAAGCTACTTGCTGATCCCTGCCTTCTTCTACTGGCCCACTTAACCTCTATCATCCTTTTAGTTTGTGTCTCACAGGATAGCTGGATTTTCTATTGTCTTAATATTGCTACCTATTATTGTGTCTTGTAGCCATATCTTCAACTGATTTTTAAGTCCCTGAAGCCATGTCTTAACATTCCTTCCATTATCTTAAGATCTGTCTTGATTGAGTTTTTAGAAATAGTCACAATTTTAGGGTCTATGAAAGTTCAGCTCTTAAGACAGTAATAATACACATTCCCAACAAATGTATGACTCTGGGACTGAAACATACTTAGGTTAACTTTTTTTTTCAACAAGATTTGTTTCATTTATAGAATGGCTACATCAGATACAATTTTTTTCCATTTTATTGAGCGATGCAAATAAGAAGGGAATAAATAGATTATGAAGTAACAAAAGCTTCCTTTGACCATAAAACAACTTATTTAAATTAAAAAAAAGTCTTTTTCTTCTGAAGATAAACATTCATAGGTCACTGAACCAGTGCTGGGAAAAAAATGACGGAAGCAAGTCAGTTAGAACGTGTTGATCTGGCTGACAATGATTACAGATTTAACTATGTTTAACTCTGTGTCCTCCTGGAGAGAGAGTAAACAGCTACGGAGTGTGGGAGCGCCGGGTCAGCCAGTTCACACGGCTGCCTGTCCATTATTCCCTGGAGCTCCAGGCTGCTTCACCTGCCTTCCCTAGAAGGAAGGTGCAGTTACCCTCCTGCTGACGGACCTTGGGAGTCTGAGCAGTCCGCGGCAGAGCTAAATCACACTGTCCCTTCTGTCCCCAGTAGCTGCCCTGCCTTTCCTCACTGTTATGCATGTCGGTCCTTAGGAAGTCTGGCCATCAATTAGGAAAAGAGTAGACTCGCTAGCTGGCAGGAAACCACCGTTCCTTCGCATGAGATCTTTGAGGATATTGAGAGTTGGGGTCTCACCTTTAAGTCTAAGTGTCCCCTCCTTGGAGTACCCCTTCCTGATCAATCACGGTATCCAATCCCCCTGCCTAGTTTTATACTACATTCTGTTTCTTCTCCCCTCCCCAGTATTTATGACTAGCTAAAATACTATTTGTTATCTGTTACCACCACAAACATGATAAGCACCACAGAGGGCAGGGGGCTTGTTCTGCTTCTTTCACTCAGCACTCTGTGTCTAAGGCCCAGAAGAGTGCTTGGCACGTAGTAGGTACTTGATTAGTATTTATTCAAGGGCTGAATGATTGCTTCAGATGAGACCATCTGTCAGGAACAGCCCTCTCTTGGGTTTTGCTGTGGGTCAGTGTTAGGTGGCTTGACGGGAGGAAAGAGGAGAGTTCTGGAAAGAGCATTTCAATATTGAAGCACTCCCAGCTTGCAGTAACATTTCTATTCATTTATGGGATTCAAACACGGCATGATTGGTGCAAGGTTATTCCTAGTTTAAATGTCCAGATTACAAAATATTATCTGACAGGAAGTGGATTTTAAGGTGTGAATCACATTCCAAACATCATTCTGTTTGTTCCAAGGTAATAACTGGTACTAGCACAGTACGGGTGTTATGTAAACACATGGCGAAATGATTTAAACAAAGGAAACAAATAGGACATTTACCAACGGAAAAAAAAAAAGTTTGCACTGATTGATCCAGAGAGATGGGTGTCCTTTCTGCTTTTGCTCTTCACTCTCTCCCACCCCAGGCTCACAGTCATCCCGGGGTGGCTCACCTTCATACTTCACAAGTCTTTCATGCTTCAGCATTGTAGTGTAACAGGTCTCCCTACTTTAGACTGAATGAATGCTGAAATTTCAAGTCATTTTTGGACAGGTGGGTAACTGGGCGTATGGTAGAACTTGTAATGAAGGATCATGAAAGAGCAAATATTCGTAATAATAAACATTTCCAGATCTATGTCTTCTTCAAGACTATCATATTAATACTTGAAAAAAAACAAAGGTTTATGAATTGGCACAATGGAATCCAAGAAAGAGAGAATGTGGTCAAATTACTAAGTACTCAGTTGCTAAAACTGAGTTTTAACAAGTTGGCTTCTTTTGCTGTGTTATGTGAAGATCGTGACACTGGGTTCTCATCTCCCAAGGCCACTGTTTACCTGTGTGACCTTTGAATGGAGTGGCTTGGCACACAGGACCTCAGCTTTCCTGTCCAGGAGGAAAAATCATGGGATTTTATTCTGAGGTCCACTGAGCCCCAGTATTCAGTGGAGGTGCTGAAGCAGTCTGTGAACAAAGGCTAATTTCTGCCCAGTAATGAAGATAGAATTCAGTTGAGGAACCCACCTTTCACTTTGGTCTGCTTTTCATATTGGGGTTTCATTTGAGGTATTATTTGATGAAAAGATGCTGTACATCAGATCACAGGATTTCCCTCCATTCTGACACTGACTCTGATTCTTTTGTTATTCCTGTAGCCATTTTTTTATTTCTGCTATGAGAAAATTAGGCTACAGAGGAGACAGAACAATCAGTTATTTTTTGTTCAATAGCTCCAGAAAAAGATGTAGTAAAAACTCATATGGCTACAGCCAGAAGTTTGAGTTCTATGTGAATTTTAATCACCTTATCAGAAATTGTGCAGTAATAGTAATTTTGGTTTTTGCCCTTTGGGTTTAAATAAAAATCTTATTTGTGTTCTGCTCTGGAGTAAACATATATCATCTTTAATGTGTCTATAAAGTAACTGATACGTGCACATGAGCTGCTGAATATGCCTTCCAGATAGGGACATTGTTCACCCTACTTACCATATTGGAGGTTTGGACAGCGTATCTCCCATAAAGCTCTCCATTGCTATTTTTATCCTTTTATTTATGAGAATCCACTAATCAGGTAAAAGCAGGCCATCTCATACTTATGCATTCCTATTGTAAAATCCACATTATCCATGACCTAAATCTCA